ATGATGATGATGATGATGATTGTCAGCTTCAGTAACAGCGTTGCGAAAGTAACGTGTTGCAGACGAGTTATGTGTTATAGTCGCGGTTAATGGGGTGTAGATCCGTCAGAATAAAGAATTTCACCCCACCGGACAGTGTTTACCCAGATCTAAAGTCTCACGCAACAGGCAACCGAGCCACCAATATAGGTTAAGGTGAGAGTGTGTCAGACAGGCCGCTCGTATAGACGGCTGCCTCATGCATTTCGAACCACATTAGGGCAGCGGGTGCTAGTGAAGTTCACGGCATGGGTGTTGTACTTTTAAGGCACCGGATTGCCTGCCGTACTCGTACGAATGTATTGTTGGGTTCACCTGTAGTTGTCTACCTATGTCTCTGTGTGACTTTGTGTCATGGCTCTGTGCGCCTTTCCGTCGGCTAATTAAACTCCGGTTTGTGGTAGTTCAAACATGTCCAGCAGTACATCGGACGACCATTCGAAATAGAAATGACTGTTTGTTCGATCCGTCGTTTGCATAACTGATTAATGTGCCGAACGAAAGACAACGGTCAGAAAGACATCTCGTACAGCACAGGGCCTTTCATTTTTTGTACTACTGTAGGTTTGGTGGTTCGGCTTTGAATCCAATGCATAGACCGGCTTCTCTGGTAGCTAACGTCTGCTCACGCTTGACGCGAATAGCGGTTGCGTAACCTTAGGACATACTGCATCTATTGGAAGACTTATCGCACTCCCTAACATGGCTTCCTCTGGGGATTTGCCGCCTATTGCAGCGGGCTTATGCGTCGCCCGGTAAATTAACAGGAATAGCTGTATGATATTCTCTGTCGGTCCTTCCCCGACAGTTTTAGAAGTGAAACTTGAGGGTATCCACGAATTTTCTGCTTACCCGTTGGACTGGGGATGCCCCGGAAGCGACCGGCAGTGCTTGATGCTTTTACGTTGGCCAAAGGCACCAAATTCATCGGAGCTACGTTGCGAACCGTTGTCGGAAACCAAGATGTTTGGTGAAGCGAACTGTGTGAACAACTGTTGTAGTTTTCGCACTGTGGCCGATGTCGTGGTTGTGTTCATCAGGTATGCGTCCGGCCACTTGGTACACGCATCGACCACAATTAAAAAGACTGGCCTTACTCTAGACTACCGAAATAAACGTGAATTTTCTCACAAGGTTTAGTGGCTGACATCCAGGGTTGGATGATTTCGCTTGGAAATTTCGCTACTGTTTACTGAGTAGTGAGAATATTCAGCGGATAGAACTGCATCTGTATAGCTGTATCCAGTAATTTTTGGCAAATCTACCCATTATGATGGTGATTATTCTCGAAATCTCATGTCGGCAAAGAGCGAGTCCAGAAGTTTTTAAACTCCAAAGCCGACTTTGCTTTGACTATGTCTGCAAGCAGATTGTTCCAAATATTCACCACCCTCTGCTCGAAGCAGAATTGCTGAACGACCCGCTTCAAACCCGATACGACAAGCTTGTACCGTTATCCTCCTGTACTGCTTGATGTGCGTAGATGCAGCAAAGGCCCCAACATTGGGTATTTGCCCAGATAAAATATCCGGTGCGTCATGACGTGGCCAACCCGCATTCGAAAGTAAGACAAGGTGTACAACCCTAGTTTCTTGCACCGATCTTCAAATGGCACTCATCGTAAACCAGGGATGAGCGTTGTGGTCACATGCTGTATCCGCTCAGTCCTTTGCACTTCGCCCCGGGTGAGCGGAAAGTAGACGGGTAAGCTGTAGTCTAGCTTTGGTCCGATGATAGAAGACAGGACTCGGGTGGCAACCTCTTCGTACCAAGTACAGAAGCTGTTTTTGTACGCCTAGAACATGCGCAGGCTGCTTTGGTAAAAGCCTGTTCGTGTTTTCAACGGATTTCAAATCTAAGCGTGAGAGTGCACCGATATCGTCCACGGATGACGATGGGTGAAACCGTTGACCGACCGGTTTGTAAACTCAGCCATTACCATCCTTGCCCAGACACATGATTACCGACCTGATCGAATTGATCGGAGGCTTGACCTTTGCTGACCACATGAAAAGGGGGTCAAGATCACGCTGAAGCAGGTAGCAGTCGTCGGGCGTCTCAATTACCCTCCATACCTTAAGGTCATCCGCAAACAACGCGCACCGTGAACTGAGAAGCGGAGGCAGATCGTTGATGTGTATCGAGAACTGAATAGGCCTAAAGACTGTGCGCTGTAGGACGTTACTGGTCGAGGGATACCACTCGAGCAAGTGGTTGTTCGCCTGCACCCCACCTCTTACTGATCCAGCAGTGCAGTGAGCCACCAAAACCGCACATCTTCAGCTTCCAAAGGATGATCTCATGGTTCACCTTGTCAAATGTTTACTGATGTAAACGACGTCAACCGACTTCCCTTGGTTCAGCACTTGCAATCATTCGTGCCTTGAGAGCAAGAGGTTTGTGATGCATGACTGACCTTTCATAGAACCGTGCTACGCGACCGTCAAGATGCTTTTGGATTCGATATACTGCAGAAGACCACGCTTCACAATCTTCTCGAGTATCGTAGCCGAAACAGAGGTCAATAATATCGGCCGGCAGTTGTCGACCTTGCTCGGATCGCCGCTTTTGGGAATAGATTTTAACACTGAGCATTTCCAGTGGCTCGATAATGAACCAGCGGACAGCGACCTGTTGAATAGCTCAGTCACCGAAGGCGAGACGATGGCCTATAGCGATTTGAGGATTTGCGTATGGAGCCCATCAGGGTTGGCAGGTTTGGTATCGTCAACATTGGCGAGCAGTTTACGCACATCCTCAGCGTTGCGATTCCGGCTGTCCAGATAGTTAGGGGCTACCTCCGTCGAACTCAGTACGGACGCCTGGTTAACTGCAACAACGGAAGCGAATTGCTCCCTCAATACGGAAGCACACTCAGTGCTGGAAACTAGGGTCTGTCCGTTCGAGCCCTTCAACGCAGGCACATCACCTGTCGGCTTCAGGTATCGCTTCACGTATGCAAAGATCCTGTTGGGAGCTGTTTTTTCTGCTGTTGCAAGTTGCTCTTCGAAGTTTCGGCTTTTGCTCATCTTCGCGCTGTTGCAGGCATTGTATTGCCTTTTGTACGCTCATAATCTTTGGTAGAGCCAGATTGCACGAACTTCTCCTATAGCCGGGTCGCCGTCGAGTCGAGTATGCCACACTCCTTGTCAAACCAGTGTGGCTTGACTGGTCCAGCTTTCCGATGCACAAGTGCTACATGTGTCGACATTATCATGGATAGCGCTGTCAATAAAAGACCAGTATACGTAACTTATGGGTAGACCTTTCATCCGTGATATTCTGGGGTGATGTAGGCGCAAATACTTTAATACCCTTGCCTGCAGGAAGTTCGGAATGACCACGTGTTCACCGAACATAACGCATTCATCAAACCTTGCTAACGAGTCACGTCGACAATAAACTTGTTATGTGATAGAGAAGCCACGTTTAGATATTATAACAGTGCGAAAATAGAAACTCAGGCCTATTTTCGCACTTTCTTCGTGGTACCTTTCTGACACACCGTTCCCCTACACGCATTCATTCACAACTACTCGACGTAGATTTGTGCACCACACGTCCCTCATCAGATTGACTCGTGCGTCACGCTTCCGTTGTCCGCGGCGATCCACGATTTCTCCGATTTCCTTCCGCCTCCTCTCTCCCACGCATGCTACTCACTAATAGTGCCCCATAACGGGAACGACTGCACTTACTGGGAGTGATCAATGGACACTACCGGTGGCTATTTACAGACGTTATATTAGTATACCAACTACTAAGCAACCCCAGTCACATTTGCCGCTATTTTTTAAAACAGCCTGCTAGTCAAAATCAGAGGCAATAGCATAAAACGAGATCAACAATATAATCGTCTAGATTGTCGACGAAATCACTTCTCCATCCATTTCTACAAACCCAGGAACGATCTTCCAAACTCGGTTGTTTGTGCTGCCAATTTATCGATTTTAAATAAAAAACTGGATATTGCATTGAGCTCGCTACACTCTGTTACTTGAACGGATATTCTGGGTTATATTTAAGTTAACTAGCTTCTTTGGAATTATGACCCACAGTGACGCACATAAATTGGTGCAGACGGGTGAGCAATTCAATTGTTATTTCCCATAATCATTAACCATAACAACGTGCTATTCCTTAGTACATGATGCCACCTCACTCCCACAACCATATTTTTTTGCAATTAATCTATCGCTTCACCGATAAGAATTCTATTTGGTACACTTAAGCGGTGTACAAATTTCAGCTTCTATTAATAAATCTGCGGGGCATGTTAAGTCTGTGGTGTTTTACTTGTCATAAATCATTGTTGCATTGCGTTTCACCAAGGAAATTTGATTCCAGTTATTCCGCTGCTAGGTGCAAATAGTAAATACTTAGAAACCCTTCACACACACCATCTAATATACATTGTGGACCGAGGTTTCTGTTAGTACAAACCTATTTTCCCCATGGAGTTATAATAATATTCTCTTCAAAAATCATTTCAAATATTTAAGATTATAAAGCAAGTTCACGACGCAAAATAGCTCATGAAACCTCTGGCAATGTTAGATAAATGACAGTGGAAAAGCCCACTTTTGTCCAGCACATTAGTTAACGAGTAGGAAATATTAATAACTATGTTGCTCGGTCCGACAAAACAGCATAAGCGAACACATGTGACCAAAGCTGGACAGGTAATGAAGAAAGTTTATAGCTAAAGCAAAGTCAGAGCCTGTATCAGCATCCGCTGTTTGCACCGTCCTGGTTTCGAAACCCTGGTTGATATGCTTTCCGTAATGACCAGTAGAGGTCACTTAAACTTTTTAAAACCGATATTAAAGAATTCATTCTCTCTTTCTAATAGAGTTAACGGGATTATTTTTGATTAAACGCAACTGCATGAAATATTACAAGAATTTGTGTGATCCGTCAGATGTTTAACGCAGCGGTGTTGTCGTTTGTATCTTACTTAGAATGAAAATCTCCAATCATCAGATAATTGGGACAGTGACACGACCAAATCGTCATCTATCAGAAGTGGACGACTTAATAACCATTCTCAACCCACCGGTGATAATGGTCAGTTTAACGAAGAAAACTTTGCTTATGAACATCGAAATAAGCAACCTTACCAGTATGCAAAAAACAACTACCGACTTAAGCTCAATCTTTCGAATTGCCGCAGCGACGCATCAGAAGAGAAGGACATAAATGAATACAAACCGAATTTCTCCAACGAACAAAATCTCGAAACAACTGAACTTGAAATTGACGACCGCGTTGAACGCGGATGTCCAATGTTTGAACGGAAGGTTGAGGAGCAGTTTGTTAGCGTTCAACCAACTGACACCGATTCCTCAAAAGCTGTCAGTTTAAAACTGGAACCGATCATGGAAAACTGTCTTGCCGACAGGAATCAAGTGAGCGACAACCTTAAGCATTACATGTGTAACGCACAAATTTGCATAATTAAAAGACTAATCGGTTGTATTTCAACTATGATTCCGAGGTAAACTTAATGCATACAGTTGGTATTGAAGCGGTTCACGATGTGCTCCAGTGGTTTGGCTACATATGGTTTTTTCAGTTAGAGCAAATGAGCTTGGTTGTGCGAGTTGCTCTCAGCCCCAATCGTAGTGGGAACCCGATGATTAGTGGTGATGGAACTTATCTTTGCCGTTCCTAAAAACACCATCAAAGAAATAAGGATCCATAAATTCCAAATATTTCCTTACCCTCCTAGAAAATAAAAGAAAGTTGCTTTCATCGGAGTGTTCTGGTGAGGATCCCTTTCTATCTTGCACTTTAAGACCGGTTTTTTTCTCATTTGAAACCAGAAGGTAGAGAAAGCCCTATCTGGGGAGTTGGCCGAGGACCGCATGGAAGTTGAGTGCAGCACTCCAAACATACAGCGTGTACTGCAAACCCAAGCACGAAAAAAACATCACATTGAAAGAACTGGCAGACAAAAGTCAGTATAGGTTATGTACCTAGTGAGTACTTGCGTTCAGACAACCCGAATGTATGGAGATTCATCTCATATTCTATGACCTGAGGTTCGGACTTCAAGCCAAAGAATCCTCGAGTAACTAACTATGAAATCAGTTAACCTAGCCAAAAATAAGCGGCCAGGTGTACGGTTTTGAAACCCGGCTAATTTGATCAACCGACATAAAGAGGTTGGTTACTTTTGACCACCGATGCCTTCGCAGTTTGGCGCATATCGGGTGGAAACCCCGTGTGAGCAACGAGAGTGTTCGACCTCTTGTTTATGGCACAGGAAGAGGAAGTGTGCCACTCAGCACCGCTATTTCACGCAGCAGGTTCCAATGGCTGGACCACGTGTTGCGCACGCCAGCCCACCGACACCCGCGAGGTGCGTTGTTTGTGCGACGGGAGTGCGGATGCAATAAGTGAGGTGGTCAAGCGATGACTTACTCGAGAGGAATGAAGACCTCACTTCGAAGTTAGCCGCGGTTAGAGTCCGAAAGATGATTAACACGTTGGTTGGCTCCAATTGCTGACGTGGCTATCAGCGGACCTCAATGGCGTTCGTGCTGTGAGTTTCTTTGTCCCTCCCCATCCCTATTAGACTCCCCTCCATCCACAATCTCATTTCCTAGGCATATTATACCTCTTGTTTGCGGCACTCTAGACGGCTGTTAGCTCTCTGGAGGCATGACCATCTTTTAGAACGGAATGATAATGGCGGAAAAGCGGAATCAGTCTGATCCCCATTGCCTCCAAATTACTTGCCTCTATACTCCTTCACAGACTGACCGGCGGTCGTGAAAGCCAGATGCGTGAAGAATAGGCAAGGCTTTGTCGATGTCGTGGCTGCATCGACTACGTCTTCACATTGCGTCAGCTGTTAAAGCACCGCCACATATATTGGTGGCCACTGTTGTCGTGTTCTCGACATCAAATCTGCCTTCGATTCGGTTGAGCGATGTACCCTTTGGGACTGTTTACTCAGGAAAGATGGGCTCGAGAAATATGTAAATATTATCCGCGCATTATACACCCGTAGTTCGGGCAGAGTCGGTACTTACGGTAAGTTGTCACCGCACTTCAATATCTCCAGCAGTGTGAGACAAGGATTCACGCTGCCACCTTTCCTCTTCAACTTCGACATTGACGAAGTCATGGAGATGGCGTTCACAGGACGCGAATTTGAAGGTGCGGAGCTGCTCCCAGGAGAACGACTTCCTGAATTGAAGTATGCAGACGATATTGCCCTCATCTGTAACAGCTCCCTGAATTGTCAAGCTGCATTGGACAGATTAGCGCTGGCTGTCAACCTCTTCAGATTTGGCTTTGCGCCCTAAAAGTGCAAAGCTTTCCTCCAAGATTGACAGTGACTGCCTCCTGCGATGACTCTTCGTGGGGATCAGTTAGAAGTCATTCAAAAATTCAACTACCTGGGAAGTTGTATCAGCGCCCTTGGGGTTGAAGCTGACATTAGAACCGTATGGCAAAAGCTCGAGGCTCTTTTGTTAACCTTCTCCATCTGTGGCACCGGCGCGACATCACTCTCACCCTGAAGGGTAGAGTGTAAAATGCAGCGGTACGTTCGAACCTACTGTACAGTTGTGAAACCTGGCTCCTTAGATCAGCAGACATAAAGAGGCTAGTTACCTTCGACCATCGCTGCCTTCACAGTTTGGCTCACATCTTGAGTAAACACCGCGTGAGTAACGAGCGTGTTCGACGCCTTGTTTACGGCATCGGAAGAGGAAACGAACTACTCAGCACCGTTATTTCACGCACCAGGCTCCGACGAATCGGCCACGCGTTACGCACGCTAGCTCACCGGCTCCCGCGACGTGCGCTGTTTGCGCGCTGGGCATATGGATGGAAGAAGAGAAGAAGTGGGCTAGCGATGATTTGGTCGAGAGGAATGAAGGCCCTCAGTTCGAAGCTGGCCTCGGTTAGAACATCTCGGTTCCCTGGAAAGTGTCCGAAAGACGATGAACACGTTTGGCTGGATACACTTGCTGACATGGCTATCAGCCGATCTCAGTGTCGTTCGAGCTGTGAGTTTCTTTGTCTCACCCCGTCCCTCTTAGCCTCCCCCTCCAACCACGATTTAATTTCGTAGCATAATATAACTTGGCATAACAAAAGTTTTTGTGGCATAGTAGTCGGCTTGTAGCTTTCCGGAACGATGCCCATCAGTTACTGGTAGCTCAGCTGGTATGCTTCCGTTGCTTATTTCTTTTTTTCTTTGATCTAATGGTGTACAGCAGGTGAGATGTTTTCCACCTCTAGCTAACGTGTCTAATAGTCATAATAATATACTATTTTTCATTTGCTATTGGTGACCCAACCGGCGTGCATCTGCTGCACCTTTTTGCTTCTTTTCGTCTGTATTGCGGCACGATGTATATATATATATATATATATATATATATATATATATATATATATATATATATATATATATATATATGGTGATATCCGCTTTCGGAGTTGCCTGTCACTGCGGCCTCCATAAGACAGCGACAGGACGCCTGTGCCTACAGAGGGACCATAGGGGCTTCCGCTTCACCACACACATCTACAACCACACCCCCATATCCAGTGTAAACCCGAAGGAATAAGACCGGGAGGCATGTGGATTGGAGCCACGTTTCATAAACGGAGCCGGCCGACGCTCTTTCATAGGCAAAATCATGCACTCTGTATTTGGGGAATCAAGCGCACACATGGCGGTGCTTGGGCCGTAGACAGCTCCACAGACAAACCATGTGCATAGAACCACTCTTCGAACCTAACACAGTCATGAGAACCGTCCAGCCTGTCCCCTCCTGCGAGGATCAACTGTCTCCTGGAGCCAGTATAGATGATGTGGTGGGTAATACGCAGGTAGGCACCTTGTCAGCATGCAGATCAAGCGCAGCCAAACTGGGATGTCAAGCAACAGCCAATCATTTGAAATGACGACACCAAGAAAAGGTCGAATAAAGCCTGCGCGTATGCCGGCATAACTTATCGCTAAATTTGCAGATGAAATAAGTGGGTTACCATCATATCCACGATAATTTCAAGATAGCAGAGAAGGAGATAAGAACACTTGCAACAAAGGTGAAAAATTTAAAGAAAATAACCACCTTTTGTTTAAGCAATGTTTGTAGTTATATAGAAGGTTCTTCAGATAGACATAAAAAGGTAACAAAGTAAGTATTAGCCAAATATAGCAGACCTACCAACTGAAATACAAGAAGTCAGTACGCAAGCACGCGGTTAGTAAATCGAATGCAGCGTACCTATCAAAGCTGCACCGGTTCTGCCTACGTTCTTTGCAGGACTCGTCGTCGGTTCGATGCTGCTTTTGAGTGGCCTCGCTCATGGCTCACTAGGCCTGCCTGACTTAGGCATTCGTGACCGCATGTGCTACGAAACCATGCGCCCGACGTCGATGGAATAGATACCATCGGCACCTGTCGCTTCCGCAGCTGCCGTTTCTTCTCCGCATGCACGAGGGCTTTCTCCTGCACCTCGGCAACTGCCTTCGTGATTACTTCGCGCCATGCACGCCGCTCAACAGCCTTCGATTCCCAACATATGAAATCAACTTTAGTTCGTGATAGGCTGATCTTAATCAGGTCATGGCAACGGAACTTCGGTTTTCCCACGTGCCGCTTCTCTGCACACAGTTGGCCATAAAGCAGCTGTTTCGGTATCCGGGTCAAATCCATGCGTCGAATATGCCCAAGCCACCTCAAATGCCTCAGCAGGATTATGCAGTGCAAAGCATACATGCCACTGCGTCGGAGCACTTCTGTGTCTGCAACTCTGTCACTCCAGCCGATGCGCATAATACGGCGCGAACACTGTTGATAGAAGCGCTTCACATATCGGACATCCTTCGCATAAACCGTTCAGGTTTCGCTGCCGTATAGAAGGAAGGACATCACCATAAACTTATATATAAGCAGCTTCGTCCGGTAATGAACTAGTGATTGTTCCACACACGAAATACCAGCTTGACAAATGCAGCAGACACCTTCGATACGCGGCTGCGCAGCTCGCTCGTCATCTGCAGGTTGGTTGTTATTACGCTCCAAAGGTAGCAAAATTTCGGAGTGGTTTCCAAAACTTCGTCGGCAACCTGGATTTGTTGCAGACCCACGGACTCCATCCCGGGTGAAGGCTGAAAAATGCTTTTGCTTGTGTTGATAGTGAGCCCTAATTTGTCATCTGTCGAAGCCAGTGCACTAGCCATGTGCTGCAACAAATCCGCGCTATGTGCAAACAACGCACAGTCGTCAGCGAACAGCAGCATACGGATAGTTGTCTCACAGACTAGGGTTCTCGCACCGAAACGATGGATATTCAGCAACCCGCCATCAATACAGTGTTACACACGAACATTGTAAGCACAAGTCGCATCAAAAGCACAAGACATCATGGCATGAGGATAAATATTAGACAGGGAAGAAGCTAAGACATAGCCTTGTTTCAGATCAGAAGCAACTACAAAGTCGTTCGAGGTCTGCCCAATCAGTTGCACCCTCGCCTTGTGCTTACTGTCTTCATGTGGTGCACCGTATTCATGGTGGGTTGCTGAGCATCCGTCGTTTCGGTGCAAGGACCCGAGTGTGTGAGATAACTGTCCGTATGTTGCTGTTTACTGACGATTATATATAAAATAGAATATAATGGAACTTATCAAATGCGCCACGGTTTGCTGCATGTACCTTTGTCTGACCTACTGAAGATATGCGCTTAATGCATGTGTGTAGAAAGGTGTTCCTTTAGAATCAATGCTCAGTGACTCAGGACTAAGCAGTGGCCTCGAATCACAAAATTGAACTATAACGAAAGATATGGGGGGTAGATAATGCATAAGAACTACACTCGTTACTGCATGCTGCTGGCAGATAAACTTCTGCTCACGATTAACACTCTGTCCCTACAATGTTTTTGCGCTGGAGTTCCCCCGTACCATTGATCAATCAAGATATTCTCGTGTGAAATGGTCCTATACCTAGAACGTTGCTGTATGCCAATTTATTTGTCTCTGGAAGAACTCATCAAGCACTATGAAACGAACGCTTCGAATGAGCTGTTTGGGTACCGTAAAGTTTACCAAGCCTGGTAATTTGGACGTCAGGGGTTCAGCATCAGTCGAGCTGACATGAATATTACAGGTTCGCTAATTGTGTCGATGCAGGAGCTGATAGTAGACATATCGTAAACATGTTCACGACCAACAAAGCTACACTACTGATGGCATCTCAACTAGGGGTGAAACGTTTGCAAATTAGGTTCCGAGTCCACTGGACACCCCAATATCTGACCTGTCATCTCCTCTCAGTTACCTCGGGCAGTGGTTTATTGTGCAGTAATGATGCGTACTAACGGAGTAGCAATCAAAGATACTACTGAATGTCAGCTTGAGGACCCAGGCGCACAGAAAAGCTGAAGCACTCATGGCCATGGTACGCGACCGCCTAGTGCCCGACCCCAACTGTTAAACGCCTATGCGCTTTGCAAGAATGATGGTACGACTTGCATCTAACAGCAGTGGGATTGCTCACTGGGAAGAGGGGATGTTCACTGATAATGATTTCATGAAATGCAACTGACTTGTCCAACAGATTCGGATGCATTTTTGTTGCTTAAGTAACTCCAGTCTTTGTGCACTTCGGGAAACTGAGCAGTTGTCCCATCTGCCAATGTACCTGTGTCTCAGCTGTACACCACGGTTTCTCAAGACACTTGTAAAAGGATAGGTTGGCGAGTCAACGAGAAGTTGAGGTTTTACACAGCGCATAAGCTGTCAGTTTCCCAATGCGCCCACGTTTTTAATCATTCATCGTAGGACATTTGTTCAGTCAAGAAAGCAAGCGTTATGACTTTAATGTACAATGAGAAATTGAGTGGTTTCTACTCGTATCTGTTCTCTGGTTCGGTTCTCTAGGCATTCCTTGGATCCATGCAAGCAAACGATCTAGTGATCCTTCCGATAAGACGCACTCATATTCGTGTCTGTATTATGCTCATTTTTCTAGTTTCGTCAGTTAATGCAGCCTTTGTAACGTTGATGCTTTCAGGTGACCGAGGTATCAGCCCGCGTCTGCCCAATCAGTGACCAGCCAAGTAATGGTTTGCAACCAGCGGTCTCTTATGAGGATGCCAGTGATCATCTGAAAGCTTCTCCCACTGAAGACGAGATGGACGACTTAGAAACTCTTGCAAGCATTGAGAAGCTGGGTGAAGAGCTTAATGATAAAAGTGAATTGCCATGTACCAGGTGTACCTCCCCAACACGTGACGCGATTCTCGACCACCAGGTATGTTCTAAAAGCCGGAATTAACCCATTCGTACATCAGCGGTTTAACTAATACTATACAATTTTGTGGTCCCACAACGAAATCAATAGAGAGCTTGTGTTTGTTACAATTTCCTCTAACTTAAAATGGTCAAACAATACTCTGTTACATGCGTCGGATCGTTATAATAACTCATTGAAGGAGTGCCTAAGTAACTCCCTGATGTTTTGAAGCTATTAAGTTACAACGGTCGCCCCCACTTAGGGGTCATATACAATTCTTTGGTAAATATACAAACTTAAGTATCATTTATTCGTTTCCAGATGCACAACGTGAGTATGTTGTAAGCCCCCATGGGGTCATCATGACAAGTGGGGAATGCCAAGGTCAACTCGCACCCCTTTAGTCGAATACGTCATTCATAAACAACTCAGTCCTCATAATCTCTACTAGCTGGGAATTTTCATCTAGCGGCAAGCAATCAGACATAGAGAATGTAGACAATGGCTCTCATGGGATCTGACACGGCTGCTATGGAAGTGATAATGCACAAGCTGATATATGTCTCTAACTACTTCAACCTGTACTCTGCACTTTAAAGACGTCACGCGACTTGACAAATCTGCAGCACTACCTGTGTAGTTCTAGCGCCTATTGAAGTTATATTACTACACGAAGCATGTGGATGTGCCATCAAGCGCCTATCCGGTGACGATGCAGCTTCGAGCACCGGCCAAGCCGGTGTTGGTATTACCCTGAGTCCCCGGGCTGAAGCTGCTCTGGTTGATTGGATTCCAATCAGTAGCCGGATGTGTGCGGTCCGATTGGCTGGCTCGGTCAAAGCTTCGAAACCGCACGGGACTAACAGGTGTCTATTCGTTATCGCTGCCTACTCACCGACAAACTGTAGCGATGACTCGGTAAAAGACGACTTCTATCGCCAGCTGAACGAACTCCTTCGCCACAGAAGAAGCTCGGATACTGTAGTGCTGGCCGGCGATCTGCACGCAAAAGTTGGAAAGCTGTTCACTGATGAACTACATCTAGGCAGCCAACTCGGTGTAGGCTCCCGTAATGATAACGGTGAGTGGTTACTTCATTTGTGTGAAGATCCCAGATTATTTCTTGCGAGCACTAATTTCCGACACAGCACCCGCCGGAGGGTGACTTGGCGCCCACCAGCCTCGAACCAGCTATGGACGCAAATCGATCACATTGCTATAGTTACCGCTGGAGAAGCTGCGTCCAGAACTGTCGCTCGATTTGGAGCACAGGTGTTGACACCGATCATGCACTTGTATGTGTGTGTCAGCTTATACGCCGTAAGGGCGCTTGGTTGCCGCGCGACCACCACCAGTCGCGCGCGGGCTGAGTATACCGCGAGGACGCCCACCCCTACGCGGATTCGAACCGGTGATCTTATGGTTGGAAAGCAAACGTGCCAACCACTCGGCCACCGGCCGACGCACTTGTATGTGCTGACCTGCGGATGCGCTTTGGCGGACGCCCGCGACGATGTTGTGAGCTCATTGACACCGGCAGACTGGTGAAGCCAGCTGTTCTGAACGCCTATCAAATTACGCTGTCATCCGAGTTGGATAAACGCTCACTGGATGCAATTGAAGCTCACTGGTCTCATATTCAACAGGCCTTACTAGCAGTAGGCAAATCCTCATGTGGTATGTCTAATCGCCAACATGAACATTGGGTCTCTTCACAGTCTCTGGAACTTATAGATGCTCGCCTGCATATTCCGGCTGGAAGCGAACACAATGAAACCCGCAAAGTGCTCCGGGCGAAACTCCGTGCTAGCCTGAAGAGAGACCGCGAATTCTGGTGGTCTCTTCGTGCAACAGAGATGGAAGTGGCCGCTGCCCTTGGTAACCATCGTGAGTTATTCCGTCTTATACGGGAAACGGGCAGCAGGAGACCTGGTGTTAGTGAAACTATACGTGACGAGAGTGGACAGCCTATCCACAAATTATCAAAACGCCTGGAACGTTGGGCTGAGTACTTTGAAAGGCAATTTAATCGGTCAGAATTGTTCGATTCTTCGCTGGCCAGTGATCGCCCTGCTCCGTGGGCTGTTCCTTTGGATCCACCCTCTCGTTCAGACGTCGAACATGAGATCGGACTGCTGAAGTTAAATAAAGCCGCGGGACCAAATGATCTACCTCCAGCTCTTTTTAATTTCGCAGGATCTGCTATTGTGGATGATTTACAAAAGTTACTAGACAAAATATGGGAGCAGGAAACTGTCTCAACCGATTGGAGCCGCTCCATCATAGTTCAAATTTTCAAAAGAGGCTCACGATCGGAATCCGGCAGCCATAGAGGAATCAGTCTGATCTCCATCGCCTCCAAATTGCTTGTCTCTGTCATCCTTCACAGACTGACTGGCACTCGTGAAAGCCAGATTCGCGAAGAGCAAGCTGGATTTCGTCCAGATCGTGGCTGCATTGACCACATCTTAACCTTGCGTAGATTGTTGGAGTACCGTCACATATATTGGTGACCCACTGTTGTTGTGTTCCTCGATATCAAAGGTGCATTCGATTCGGTGGATAGACATGCACTTTGGGACTGTCTACTCAGGAAAGGTGTACCTGAGAAATATGTGAATATTATCCGAGCATTATATGCGCGTAGCTCGGGCAGAGTGAGGGCAAGTTGTCATCGCCCTTTAATATCTCCAGCGGCGTGAGACAAGGATGCGCACTGTCACCTTTCCTCTTCAACTTCGCTGTTGACGAAGTCATGGAAATCGCGTTCACAGGACACGACTTAGAAGGTGTAGAGCTACTCCCAGGAGAATGACTTCTTGATTTAGAGTATGCTGATGATATTGCCCTCATCTGTGACAGCTCACAAACGTGCCAAGCGGCACTGGACAGATTAGCACTAGCTGTCCGTCACTTCGGGCTTTGCTTCGCACCCTCGAAGTGCAAAGCGTTTCTCCAAGATTGGTCTGGGCCGCCTACCACGCTGACCCTTGGTGCGGATCAGCTAGAAGTCGTTCAAAAACTCAACTACCTGGGAATTTGTATCAGCGCCCGTGGGATTGAAGATGAAATCACGAATTGTATAGCAAAAGCTCGGGACGCTTTTTCTAACCTTCGTCACTTATGGCGCCGGCGCGACATCACTCTCACCCTGAAGGGTAGGGTGTACAATGCAGCAGTTCGTTCGAACCTACTGTACGGTTGTGAAACCTGGCCGCTTAAAGCAGCGGACCTGAAGAGGCTAGTTACGTTCGATCACCGGTGCCTTCGTAATTTAGCTCACATTTGGTGGGAACACCGCGTGAGCAACGAGCGTGTTCGACGCCTTGTTTATGACACAGGAAAAGGAAATGAACCGCTCAGCACCGTTATTTCACGCATCAGGCTCCGATGGTTCGGCCACGTGTTACGCATGCCAGCCCACCGACTTCCGCGATGTGCGTTGTCTGCGCGCCGGGGGTGTGGATGGAAGAAGAGGAGGGGTGGCCAAGCGATGACTTGGTCGAGAGGAATGAAGGCTCTCACTTCTGAGCTGGCCTCGGTTGGAGCATCTCGGCTCCCTGGTTGGGGTCCGAAAGACGATGAACACGTTTGGTTGGATACACTTGCTGATATGGCTAGGAGCCGACCTCAGTGGCGTTCGTGCTGTGAGTTTCTTTGTCCCACCCCATCCCTATTAGCCTCCCCCTCCAACCACCATGTCGTCATTTAGCCTTATATAATTTTGCATAATAATTTTTTTTGGTGCACAGCAGCCGGCTGGTAGCTTACCGGAACTATGCCCAACCGTTAACGGTAGCTCAGCCAGCCTGCACCAGTTGCATTTTTTCTCCTTTTTTCTTTGTATTGCGGCACAGTAGCTGAGGTGTTCCCCACCTCTAGCTAACGTGTATGATGATGGATGATGATGATGATGATGATGATGAGGATGATGATGATGATGATGATGATGATGATGATGACGATGATGATGATGATGATGATGATGATGATGATGATGATGATGATGATGATGATGATGATGATGATGATGATGATGATGATGATGATGATGATGATGATGATGATGATGATGATGATGATGATGATGATGATGATGATGATGATGATGATGATGATGGTGATGAGGATGAGGATGATGATGATGATGATGATGATGATGATGATGATGATGATGATGATGATGATGATGATGATGACGACTGAGACGGTGGGATTTTATCGTGTCAGTCAATGGTCGAGCGTGCATCTATTGTAATCCACCTAATCCATCATGGTCACTGTCAATCAGCCGGCTTAGGCTAGTCTAGAAAAACACCAGATGCGGACCTGCATGACTGACGGTTGACTGGGGTATACCCCGGCTATTTCAGACTAACCTAAGCCTGCTGAGTGAGTGACCTTGATGAATTAGCCGAATTATACCAAAATCCTCACTACTTAGCAGTAATACAAAATGGCATTTGTAAAACCAAAAATATCGTTTAACCTTTTTTTACCGCAGTTCGTATTCCCATCTTCTTCACTGTTTTCTGCTGCCATGGTTCTGGTGGCACAATGTCTGTTAACAGGCTGTGAATATATATACATATATATATATATAGCAGTAAGATAAAAGTCTGTCCGGATAGCTTTCAGATTCTTGTGCCGTGCCGAAACGCCATGCAGAAAGTCCTAGCTCGTGAGGCCAGACACTGTCTTCTGCACAGCTCGTAGCTGCCATGGCAGTAAACTGTCAATCACGCAGCTCCATGGCTGTCACCCATGGCGAAGTTGCATCCAGAAGTCATGGGGCGGAACCCGGCAGTGGTCCGCCAGAAGGCAGACCACTGACGAGACCCAGAAGGTGTGAAACGCCGACGTTGGGTGCTTTTCCGGACTAGCCTAATCCTGCTGCTTGTGAGTAACTGTGACGAATTAGCTGAATTATACCAAAATCCTCACTACCAATCAGTACTATACTGTAATCGCCTCCACTTTGTTGCAACCTTTGATTGTTATGGTTTGGTAATCGAAGT